TAAGAGAGAAGACTTTTGTACCGGAAATGTTTGCAAATGCCGAACTGACAGACATAGATGAGAGGAAAACGAGGACAGAGATTGAATAGGTCGAACAAATCAGATGCAGTATGCCCGAAATTGTCAAACAATACCACCCACAGTGCTCTTCTGATGAGAATACATATGCACCTAGACAATCGGGTGTGAACAGTGTGTGCAACATTGCATTCAGTCCATCATTGTCTCCTTGGTCTGCCTTCAGCCTCCGCCCCCCGGTTTTCTAACTAACATGCGCATACACACCCTCATGTTAACTGGACTGTTTGTTATTCGCTAGGTGAACTGACCACGCGCGATGGGTGGTTCTCGAGCTATATACGGATAGCTACAGATATAATCATCGTTCACAATGTCCGACTTTGCATCTTGGCCGGAGTTAGTTCATGCGGTTTTCTCCTATTTCCGTTTCACGACTACAGTGGTGGTCGCGCTAGCGATTGGACTATCTCTCTCTCGCTTTCGTTCTCACCGTCTTGTATACAAAATTATATTTACATAAGACAATGGATAAAAATCTGTCGGCAAACGTTTCCCCGACCAATTCAAACTCATTTTACTTCTCTGTCTCAATGTCATCTGTAGAACCGATCGTATCTTCGCACACTCTCCAATTCCCCCTACCCAAGTTCTATGTTGCAAGGCATCTGGATAGTTCCCCGTCTCTCCTTTCTCTCTCTCTGCCCATGGTTATGTGTGTTGTAGGGACTCAGGAAAGAACAGAATTTGCACCCGGTATGCACGCACACACACACACACACACACACACACACACACACAAACGACAAATCAGGTTCGTGTAAACAAGGGCTGCGGAGCGCTGTAATTAGGATTTCGTTCGTGGTTGACTGGAAAGAAGAAAAAATGGTGAAAAACCTTAAAATAAGGTGTTTGTACAAAGTATGGAGGGAACGTAAACCAATTTCCCAGTTCGACAGAAAACTTCTTTGAAATTCAAGACTCTGTTTCGTAGTAAAAGTGATTGAGAAAGAGTTAGCAATTAACAATTGCAAAATGCATTACATTGTCCCGTGCACAGTATTAGCGTATTAGCCGATGCGTGTACCTTAACCTTGAGTTGGTTGGCTAACGGTGCTTGATTGTATCAAAGAATTAAAGATTTCAGCGGAGGATCAACATTTTACGCCGACATCAATCTGGCATACTGTCTCAGAAGAAGTGAAGATTGAAGCAGTGGTTCAAACAACTCATGGGTACAACGGTACTCAGGAGATACGCATGACTGTACGCTGCCAGGTGCGTACCCGGTTTGTGTACGGGGTATCACTCTCACCAGGCGTTGACTGCCAATAAGTTCTGGCTGGCTGTGTCAAATAAGCAGTCGTTGATAAAACAGTCACAGCACTGCCGGCGAGGGGTGGGGGCCGACAGACTGGTCTCCTATCTCTCAGCCAAGTCCACATTAGCCCAATGACGGCTCTTTGAAAAAGGTCAAAGTGACTGGCCTTTCAAAAGCAAAGTTTCCAGCTGAAGTCCAAGAGCATAAGAAATTGACTCTATTGTGGTCCACCGTGTACGAACCTGCGGGCACTCGTGTCTCTCTCTTTCCCTGGGATTTATGATCCAATTGGGCATGACTTCCTGACTTGGATTACCGGTTATCATGAGACTGTAAACTCCCAACCCTATTCCGTTGCCATGAGGGTTAGATTTTGAATAACCAAAAACTACGGATTAACGTCCCTAAGAAAGTCCATCACCCGGTTGACGGAGATGAGTAGTATGCTGCCTTGGGTGGCGCGGGGACAGCATATTCTATCGAATTCGCAAGACTCCTCACGGATATCACATTCATGAAACTGGCTAATCCGCTCACAGAAAGTATTTGCAAAAAAGTAAGCAAAGTAAGTGATAGAAGGCAAAACTGAAATCCCCGAGAACTCGAGCCGAAAGTCGTGTGTTGTGGCCTACAACTGATTGATTTGTGTTCATACATGCCTGTGGCCAAATTGATTGATTGATCGATCGGTTGACTGACTGTTTGAATGCTGACTTGACGGCACTCGCATGTAGTGCGACGTGTGAGCCGATGTCGGCCTGCCTGCCTTCCTACAAGCTGATCGTTCCTGCTTGCTTCCTGGTTTCTGAAACGGCTACATATTTACTGGTTAAAGTAAACTTACTGCTTAATTCGTTGTGTGTTCACTTAATTTGGAACACAACATCGTGATTTCCTGAAGGAGAGCAATCCAAAGGGATCTATACTCAATGGAAGAAAACCATTTAATTACTTCAAGATTCAATGTAAACATGCATTTATAACCCATTTTATTAGATTTACAAGTGGAATTCAGTTCAGTGCACAAACACACATGCATTAGCAACCTCGTTCATTTCGTCCCGCGTAAAAAACCAAACCCAATTTGTGTTTCATTTGTATGGGGCGGGGGCGGGCGGGAAGGGACGAAATCCGTCGAAGCCTAAATGGTTAATCCATAACATTCGCTTTAGTGCATTAGTAGTTGAGACTTTCAACCAGGAACATAATAGATTCACGTATTCACCGATGGACAAATTTGACAGATATGAAGAACGCGTATGCGTTTTAATCTGTTCCATAGAGCACAAAATGAGGAACAGAATATATACATTTGGTTCCCACACAGGAAACAATGTTTTCTGACAGAACCACAATATCTGGTGTTTAGTCAAATGATAGCTAGCCGCTGCCAATTTTGTCTGCGAATCGCTGACACAGTTTTGTCCAGTTCCCATCTCTCGCGGTTTGGGGTGAGTAGGACAGTGGATTGGAATAAAAGTGCGTGTCCATTATTTGTTTTTTTTCAAACCCACAATCAGAAAGTTCCACTGACTTAAGTTGTCTTTACGTCCCAAGCGCTAATAGACCGCTTTCATTATTTGTTCAACATACCTCAACCCGGATTTGAAACTGAATTTTCAACGTCTCGCTGAAAGAACAACGAACGGATGATTTTAGCAATCACAACAAATTGTGTACATGTATATAAATCACTGTCAATTGGGCGGACCCACGTTAAGACTGGAGGACTGATGGAAGCGGTAAAAAAATGTAAGTTTTAAGCAAAAGTTGAGTACGAACGCTGGATGATGGATCGTCCGGAGCAGAAAAATGAACAGTCACCCACCACAGCAGCCTGGGATAGTTTAGAATGAGTTGTCTTTTAGCTGGCCGACTGAGAGTGGAACGAGGGTGGGTGGGGTGTAGTTTCGAGTGAGTCATGGAATCGTGAGAGTTATCAAAACCAGAAGGAACACAAGAAGAGAGTGGCAGCTCTAGATGTGATGCCTAAGTGAAACTGTGCAAAAACAATTCAGATTTTAAGAGCGCAATTTGAACTGAGGTTTCTTTTTTCGGAAAACAATCTAAAGATAGTCGCACATTTGACTATTATCAGTAAGTGTATAGCAATCAAAACATAAATAAAGTTGAGTTGAAGGTAGACTCTCAATCACCATGCATCCATGACCTGGGCCCCGTGCAAATGTGCACTAAGCGTTGGCCTTGAAATGGTCCAGTGCAATCAATACCATCGGCACACACAAGGACAGACATTCATCGTCATTTAGCAAAATGACTTCCATCATTCGAATAGAATTAGCAAGCTTTAACTTTCACCAAAGTAGTACTGCTTTAAAAACCCTGAGATTCCGGTGGGCAGTAGGTGAGGAGGTCGAATGCGGTTATTCATGGTGTCAAAGAGGTTTGGCCAATCGGTATTGAATGAGTGACAAAGCCCATGTTGACACAGGAATTCCTTGATTTGGTTTTGCAGGCTGAGGAATCCGTAAGCTAAGGATTGTATCAAACACGCTCAGTGCACAACATACCCACATCTCAAGAAGGTTGATAGTCCTTTTTTATTCATATATTTATGTTCATTGCGATGTGATCTGTCGGGACTTGAAACCCTTTATCCTGAGCTACACGGTCGACGATCACCACCTTGTGCAAATGGCTCCATCAATTTAGAGTATAAAGATTGAATTAGCCCATTCGATTGTTCAGAGGTCCCAGACACTCTTTATTGTCTTGGGTGTGGGTTTCACTCCTTGGGACATTGTTAATTCCACACGAGGTTAATGCACTCAGATGCAATGGATATCATTGTGATAACTGACAAAGAGCAATGGACATCTGACGAGTATCATACAGGACGAAACAGCTATCCAGTGCTCTTTGTTGGTTATCACAAATATTTTCATTGCATCTGAGTGCATTTACCTCGTGGGGAATTAATGATCTCCCAAGGAGTGAAACCCATACCCAAGATTATCAAGAATACCTGATGCCTCTGAACAATCGAATGGGTTAATCCAAGCTTGAGATTCCAAAAAATATTTATATTCATTTTATATTTTCTGCAAGAAGACTCGATACTAACTTTTATTTGAAGTAAAGTATTTTGTAGAAAAATATTTATTTGACAGGAAGGTCAGTAGACTTTATTTGTTCGGTGGCAAGACATGTGCATTCGGTTTCGTCGACAAGCTCTCAGGATCTGGGTTACTTTTATTTACGTCGCAAGCAAAGTTATTCGTTGGAGTTGGATTGGTCGACTCAAACAACACTTCAATTAAATGTTTATGGTGATCTCTAATGTTCAGCCAGCCAGCCAGCCAGCCAATCAGTCAGTCAGTCAGTCAGTCAGTCACAATTAGGATGTTCCCCAAGTTGCGTATTTTGTGATGGCAAATAGTTTGAAGCGTTCAATTTCAAATCAACTTCACTGAATATATGTAGCGTAATTACATTCATTTTCGTTGATGTTGCCTAGCGGATTACTTGAGCAGCCAAGATGTGATATTCCTTTTGAAGAATTTTGGAAATGAGAAAATGAAGGACCTTTACATTTCAACTACTACTGACCGATATAAATTACTTGGTTTCCTTAGTTTAAAACCCATGTGTGATCTAATTGCTTTAGTCTTGCATGGTTACGTTTTAAGTTTTTGAACTTCAGTCGGTTGAGAATCTAGCGGAATTATTCAATCTGAATTTTCTAAAAGCTACATTTCTGGATTATTCAAAAGCTACGGACAAGTTAATGATACTGATAATCGTGCGAATAAAAAAACATTATAACAAACTACTTCCACTCCGTGCTATCACATGCGTGTTTCATTTCAGTTTCAGTTCGTACAACCATTAACCATGCTCATTCATGCGTTGGTTTGGGTTGATACCTCTTCTGGCTGCCAATTTGGATGAAGCATTAGGAAAAAGACGGGAAATTTTAACTAGAGTCGAAGGGAAAATGGAAAATTTCACTAGACTAAGATTGCAAAGAAACTGAGAAGATGCAAGAATGCAACCGTTTACGACACTCAGCCATATCACTCAACGTCTCTACCCACCGGTTACGATCATTCCGAGATCCCCAGCCAGGGAGCCTAACGAGACCTATGTGATTGCGTCTCCCGGTTAGGGTTTTCACACCCTCATACCAGGTCTTATTCTGTTCACCGCTGACTTTGTTCCACCCACTACCTGCCTCGGCAGGCATCGCGCACCATGGAAACCTGTTTGTTAGCGTGCGTAATACATCCCCCAACGAAGGTAATCTATGGAGGTCGATCCCTTGCTCCAGTGAGCGCCCGCCGTCACCGAAAACTCTGCGCCTGTTTATAGCTTTATAGCCTTATATAGCTTTCAAGTGGAATCATTGAAACAGTTTATTGCTAGTCACATTCCGAAGCCGCGTGTCTACGAGTACTGTGTAACCGTCATGTTTGATAAAATATTCCGAGTGGGCTGTACAAACTGTCTGTCAGATCCGCCTGCACAAGGGGACACATGCACAACTGGTTTGCTCGTATTTGTGAAAGTTGTGCAAGCAATTACACTTGAAAGTTTCGAAACTCTATTCGAGCCACGCATAGATACTCAGTCATCATCGGCAAAGTGGACACAGATAACACATTTGCTAGCGTAAGACAATCTAAATACAGTCAAAACGTATTTGGGTAATAATATCAACGCGTTGCTAGAAATCAACATTTAACTTATCAGCCTAGTTTATTCGTATTCAATGTCAACTATGTATGCACACCGGTTCGACTGAGATTCTAACTTGAACACGAGGGTTTCCTTATTTGATGTAACCCAGTTTCAAACTGACCCTGAGAAAAACAACACGCTTCATGCTGAAACTAGGTTCTGACAAAGGCATTCTGATTTGATACAAAACGATGTTCCGAAGCTCTCGAATCTATCTGATAGATACGTCATCATCTGATGGTCTGGTTTAGTGATTTGGTTTTACAGAGTCCATCCGGTCTATGACCGGGGCTATTGAGAGTATGCTAGACTGCTTTTTGCACGAATCTACCCGCTTTCCACGTAATCACTTGATAGATTTTCCGTTCGCTAAAATCAAAGCTGTTGACTGCATTGAGAAAAAGCCGAAATTCCGATGCACCAGTCGGTGGATAAATGCTGCCATGACACAGAATGGAATGGAATGGAACAATTTGAAATTCTAAACTAACTAATGCTTTTCTTCGGAAGGTGTTATTTCGCCATGACACTCTAATTTCGAGTAACAAGTAGAACGACTTCTTGTTAATTCCTGTTCAGACCAATTTACATACCAAAAACATTTTGAACACTTTGGTGAGGTTGATGGCACTAACTCACATAGATATTTCCGAGTGTTATTTCCTTTTACAAAGTGGATAACCAGTAGCTCGTGAGTCATGTGTATGTGTGTGTGTGGCGGGGGGATGAGAAGGGGCTGCAATTTTAAAATAATACTTGTTCTGCGAGCGGTTTGAGAAAATTAAAGATGCATTCTATCACTGGACGGCTTCAGTTGTTATTTCCGTTTGTTCTTCTTTCTCTTTGTTCCCAGAGCTCTCATTCGGATATGGTTGCCACGGAACCGGAGAGACCACTGCGAAGTCACAGGTCAGTCTAATAGTCATTACTTTTATGCTGATCAGAATCAGATGGAAATATTGAGATGAATATTCGGTAGACAGTGATCGGAAATTGTCAGCTGGTGCATCAAGTTACTAGTGTCGAGGACAGTTTCGTCCTAGGACATATTATAGCAAACCGTTTTGTAACTTGATTTGGTCCCTGATCAATCAATCAACCAATTCAGCAAATAGCACAATCACATATTTCATTTTCTTTGCGCAAATTTTCTTTCTCTTTTGTTCTAGTTCACATAAAAAGTGGATCGAGATGACGACATCCCCATCGGTTACAGTGAATGCTGTTCACAAGGTCACATCACGTCGTACCACCTGTATGCTTCGTGCATGGCTTCGAGAACACAAAGCCAATCCGTATCCAACCAAAGGGGAGAAAATTATGCTGGCCGTGATCACTGAAATGTCACTTACCCAAATTTCCACTTGGTTTGCTAATGCCAGAAGAAGATTGAAAAAAGAAAATCAACTCTGTTGGAACAAACGTGGACGTCCTCCAAATGATGCCGGGGAAAGAAAAGCTCATCAGTTTCGACAACTCGGTTTGCCCATCAGAAATGATGAGATTCGCAAGAAATCTGGAAGCACTACTGCACGACCTGGTTTGGATACCATTCAGCACAACTCCAGGATACAAACCGATTCATTTATTCCCAACTTCAACCGAGCCCGTCTGTTTTCAGATGAAACAGAAACACAGATCGACCGATCTAACAACAGTCCTAGTTTGGAATCCCTCCCTGAGTGGTACCTGAATCGCTTGAATTGGAAACATCAGAGACAAGCGGATAAATTATGTGATAGTACTGGAAATCCCCGATCAGAATTTTCGTGTTTAAAATCGCATAAACTTGAAGAGTCTTCACGATTTTCCACGTACATGACTGAGTCCCTCGGACAGTGCGCCCCGGAAAAAGTACAGCTCCTTCCATCACAGACGCACTCGCAGTGCTCACCGTTTTCCCCCGATCATCTGTCCAATCCTCTCATACTTCCTCACCCCAAGATCTTTTGGGATGAAGGAAGATCAAATTGTTATGGAATACTTCAGCGGTATTTGGCCTCAGCTAGTACGAACTGGAATTGTAGTCGGACCACATTTCAGCGTCTGTACGCACTGTTTTTTCAATATTATCAGGAAGATCTCGTTAGAAATAATTCATCTGAACCGGACCGCACCATAGATTCGATTCATGTGTCGGATTTTCAAAACAATTCAAATAATTATGGTGAATATTTATCCATCAACCCAAAAGACGATCATAGCAATGGTGCAAACTACCCATCCTATTCGGTTCCTTTCTTGAATCAAACGAATAAAGAATTAAACATTCAGTGATATGCTGAAAGGAAGATCACCACGTGATTTATTGTTTTTTGTTTTTCTGATTGTGTTTAATTGCTTTAGTTGACAAGTATAACAAAACTCTCTTTCTCTTCCATTACTTCTTTCGTTCTTTTCTGTCTCCAGTTGACGTCAATGTGAGTGAGGTGGGATGAAACTATTTCAAGTATATGGTCAATGAAATCACACGCGACCCTTACAACCCCCCCCCCCTCTCAAAAGCCTCTCCAGACCGCCACGTGAGGGGTTTACGCTTAATAGGCAATCATTGCTATGATGAAAAAGCAGAAAACCAGTGATAATTTCCGAGGAACTGGTGGTGAATGTTCCTTTAATGAACTATACACTAGTATTGAAATACCCAACGTTCGTAGAAAGCATTATGTTGGGGACGAATCTGACACGCCACTAAACAAGATCATCCCCATCATCTCGTTTCCATGGTGAAAGAGGGATTTTCAAACGGACACCACAGGCTTAAGAGCACGACAATCTTTGCGGTAGACCTTAACGAGGAATAAATTTTTCGGTCTTTTTTTCAAATTCACAAAGGGGTGCGAGTTCAATTCGCGGACGGGACGGTGAATTTGCACCATAGTTGAGCTCTGATAAGAGCGAAACTCCAGTCTAACTTTTCCGTGGTCATGAACGAATCAAGACTGGTTCACGAATATGAAGTCAAATCTAAATTGTTTTGTTGTAGTTGTTGTTCAGAAACTTGTCAGGAGCCTGCAAGTCACTTAACATGGTAATGTGCGTGAGGTCCAACACGGAAAAGCAATCGAAGCACCCGAGTAGAAGCCTCGACAGATCTGTCATTCAGAGTCTGTATAGATTTTGGTTTCATATATCGTTTGTTGGTGTCGTTGGTCCTTGGTCAGGAACTCTGTGATTAAATCAAATCCCGTTTAAAGATGCTGGGTGATATTGTTATGTGCCACTGACATCGTTACGTGTGCATGTACTCTTTTCTATATATGTGTATGGTTTTTACTTTTTCCACTAAAAGTTAAACTGCAGTAGGCGCGCGAGAGAGAGAAAAAAGAGAGAAAACGCATTGAAATGAGCGGTGCATGTTACACCGAATCTTGTTTGATTGGTGCCAGGGTGAACACTGATAGCTAGATTCAAACAACATTGCAAAATAGAAGAGCTTTATGGCAAGTTAGGGCACAAAGACCCCGTAATTCAAAATGAGAGGTCTACGAAGTCTCTCAGTTTATCTCAGGGGCACTGATTCCCTGGTCACTCAAACTCCTCCCATAAAATAAACATCGGTAACATTTCGTGAGATTACTCTGGCGCTGAGATAATGTGGTTATTACAAGGCGATACTGGAGTATTTAACTAGATTTCCAGATGAATTTATCCCCGTAGAGAGCAAATTAAAACCAGGTATGTGTTTGCTGTGACCTGCTACAACCGTTTTGGATTTCATGAGCCATGTTAATTTGTCGATCAACGGTGGTGGCCCAATTGTAAAGTCACTAAATCGTCACCCCGGAGGACGTGTGTGCGAATCCCATCATCACCGTCTGATCCTCTTTAGGTGTCGTAGGACAGCCCATTGATTCTCCGTTTTCCCCTTCCTGAAAATTGTCATTAAGTATTCAATAAAAAATTAAAAAATATTCAACAAAAAGTGAAAAGGGAAAAAGACAGAAAAGAACCAACTGAACTACAGACCTCGCAGTCGGATCCCTAGCACCTTTCCCACTTGACAGAATGATAAAGAATAATTTTCATAGTATATTGCAAACTGGTAACGATGCTCATGTGAGCACTAGCCTCAAGTGTAAGTATGCTTTTCGAGTCAAATTGAATATGAACTTGTCAGGACTATTCGGGTTCACAGTTCACATTTTCTCTGTTTTTTGTTTTCAATTTATGTGTCTTCTTATTCTCTTGGTTACGTTCAACCGAGTAAACTGAAAAATGTCCGTCATTTTTCACTTTACTAGGTTTCCACAGCTGTTTACTTTTGCCCTATTGTCGTTTTACAATGTTCCCCAATCAATTCGTTCATCGCTTTGAGTGAACTCCGTAAACTTAGTACCTATGGTTCTTTAGGGTATTAGGTACCTGAACTTGTACCAGATGGCGCGATAAGGCAAATTCTTGACTGATAGCAAAAGAAAGCAAATTACATTCTACCCATTCTCAGAAAATCTTGCATTACTATGAGGGAATTCATCCGTATCCCGGGACAACAGGAAACAAAAGCTTTAGCACATTAAAAATGAAACAGTACGAAAATTGATTAGAGTAGGGGGAGAGTAGATAGAATGTAGATTGCATCGGATTGCCCTGCGTCAAACCGATCGGTGTTTGCGTATTAGGCAGAGAAATAAAGAGAAAAACTGAGGCAATTTTACAGGAAGGAGTCAAGGTCGTTTGAAAAATCGACAAGAAAATCGACCAGTAGGATGATACTTTCCACAAATATTCGATTCGACTCAAATAGCAATCAGTTGTCACATTAGCGAAGAAAGTTATCGCTAGAAATCCGACTAAGAACAGTGTACTGTGTACGCATTTTTCCGTAATAAATCTGTTCCTTCAGGTCCGTAGATGGTAGTCCACTTTGACTATATTTTCGGCAGAGCTGTTTGCTGCCGGGAGCGTTTGTGAGTAAGGAATCGGTAAAAGTTTCGCTGGGATTGTGGATGTCCCCTTGTAGCATATTTCCAAGATTCTTCATGAGTTCTTCCACGAAGATGCATATCATCCTTACATCAGACAATTTCGCTGCTTAATATTAAGTCAACCATGGGCCGAACAGTGTACATAACTTAAATTGAAATCCGACGAAGAATCCGGAACAAAGATTTCATCTTTTATAAAGTCATAAATAACTGTGAATTATTATTCTCACCACTCATAACCACTTGCAGCCACTCTTCCATGAAGTTTAATTACTGACTGAACAGCTGGAAAAATGTTTTCCAATCTATAGTTCCCTAGCACAATGCACAACCTGTATTTGCTGTTCATCGTCGGTTTAATTCTAAAAGCGATGTTAGACAACGACATTCCTGACCAACGACGGTAGCTCATCAAAGAAGATAACTCCATTTCCAAGGCTCGAGCAGCGTACGCAGGACTTAAACACCTGTGGCGGCAACATAACTTTTCACTGAAGTTGGAAAGTTGAGTATACTGCACCACTGTACTGTCAGTTCTACTTTACAGTGATAACTTGCACTGGCGGGTAGAAGACATCCATCACGTAGTGGTTTTCGACAATTGATGCTTACGTAGTCTGGCCCAGGTCGGATGTATTGAGTGGTCATAGCTGCGAACCGACAACAATGGCCATTTTGCTGTCGCTTCTTTTCAGACCAGAATGCTTTTAAAAGTATGTATGCGTAGTTGGACTGTGTACTCTGTGTGTTGACCATAGAGAGGTTTGCTTTCTTTTCCCGTCCGTAAAAATATGCCTAATCCCTGTCCTCCTTACACATTCTCACTTATCTTGTATGCATTATGATTTTGACAACGATCATTGAAATTCGCTTCCCGGTACTACTCTGTAAAATGATAATGATGTCCATATTCGACTTCGAGTACATCCGAGTGCATCCGTGCTCAATGGGTTGCATTTATGTATGACCAAATGTGCTTCACTCAATCGGTAGATCGACCACCGAACGAAAGGCTGTGTTCCTATCCTGTGTTAAGTTGACTCACGATGTGCTTGATCCCTTTTTGGAGGATAACACATGTAAAAGTGCACCGAGGCCAATCTGAGTCGTGATGATAAATGCCGAATGCCTGAGATAAAAAAATGGATTTAGAAAACAAAACGAGAATTCGCTCGTATCATTCGAGGACACATATCTTACCAAACGCAACTTAATACCACGTAGAGTACCCGGTACAAAGGCATCACTATTTGTAAAATCATGGATAACCGAGAGTTCATATTATGTCGCCACCTATCACACTTGCTGAACTATTAGAATAAAACAGATACATGTAATCAGGCTGTGTGAAAAGATGTGATGAGGATGATAGACGATGCAACAATAAGGATGAGAACCCATCCGCTAAAGGTGGGTAACAAATGGAGAAGCTGCAGGTGCTAGGTTGCTGTCATTTGGTTCCAAGGCCTCGGTGTTGTTCGAGGGAACCTCGAACCTTAATAGACGTTAATTACCAAAAAGCTTAGGGCCCAGACTGAACCCACTCTTACATTCACTCATTCGAACGTTCACACCTGACCATGTAAACTTAGTAAAGGATTCATTTGGACGTGATTCTCTTGCTTACCCGGCCAACCGATGTCAGTTAGCTGCCGTTTGTTGATTCTCGTCTAAAACACACTCAACCAGTAGTCAAGGACATAACATTCCCGGGTTAGGGGACGAACAGTCAATCCCCATCCTTTACCCCAGAAAAAACAAAAATTTCAACCTCACTCGGTAACCCGTTTAAAAAGCAGCTCGGCTGGTGGAGTGTGTGCTGTACAAAAGACGTAGGCGGCTTCCCTAGGTGGGTTCAAATCCTGCCGAGGCTACTGGACTTTTCACAATTTCAACATAAAACTTCAATCTGCCAAAACAACCATTAGAAAAATTTGGTGTCCAACGAGTCCTATAATCCGTCCAGTTCAATCGCTCGACGTATTGGACTGCAAAGAATGTGACAAACCTAGGGATGCCTTTCATGTCTTGATCCGCCAGAAACGTAGCCGTCTGCTACGGTTCACTGAAGCGGCTGCCATTCGACATTACAAGCTCGATTTATATAAACAGACCTAATTTGTGGCTAGCCTCACGCTGCCCGCTGGTCGGTGTCAATGTCCCCCTCTCTCCCTTCCCCTCCCACCACCCTGCAGTGATTCCATTCACTCCCCCTATGCACAATCCGGTTCATGTTGGTGACCATTGGCCTTCGTATTGATTGATTTCCCTTCCCCGCGTGTGTTCGTCTGTCCCCAAACCTGTCACTCTTTTAAACAAACGTGATCCGAATGTATGTATGTACACAGC